GTCCTTTCAGTTAGCAGCTTAATGAATACCATATTGTGCTCTCGAGACAACTTAATTTCCCACTCATTCCACCCAAGCATAGCTGCTTACTCTTAAAAGTCTTCAAATCCCTAAGTCTGAAATGACTCTAGATGGAGTAAACGCCATTGATTTTTCCAGACAGAATCATTTGGACAAAATGATGTTTATGAAGTAACCTTGGGATTGCTTCCCACCCTCTTGAGGATCCCAGCATCACTTTGTTCTGTGGGTTCCTTGCATCAGTTTGGAAGCTCATGTTGAACCTGTTTCCTGCTCTGTTACAGTCAAACCCAGGCCCTCAGCCACATATAGGTCTGTCCTGAGTCTGGATGATGCTTTTCTTCCCATGTGGTTTCCCAGCAACAGCGACTGAGGTCCTTCAAGAGAGCTGCTCTGTAGAATGTGGGGGCAAGAAACTGGGCTGCAGGCTGTGCATCACTGAGATGATTTTCAACGGAGGCTGCTTCCAGCCACCATCAGCTATTGAGTTATTCACCAACCAGGTGAATAAACAAATATGAGAGCACATTTTAATGAGGCAAGAGAGATGGCACCTGGGGTAAAGGGGGTGCTGAGTGATATGCAAACCAGAGCAACAGGAAGCGAGCACCTGAGGTAACTATCACTGTCTAGGGATCCAGGCTGTGGTCAAGGGCTTAACTTCATCTTTACTATTCTTAACCTATAATGCAACGAAGAAGTTTGCCCCAAAAGGAGAAGCCTGTGGCATGCTTCCAGGTCTGTGGCATTGGCCTTTTGCATCACCTAAATGCACAGGCAGCTTTGGGTTGCAAACTAGTGACTTAGTGCAGCAGTAGTTAGGAGCCAATCCAAATGCCCTAAAGCCCATTGTATTAAAAATTAAAGGCACATACAATGGTTTATAATAACAAATGGGTACTACTTTTCCATGCACATCAAGACATTTTTAATATATTGTGTTTTAGTTTATCTGCAGATGAAGGTTTTTCTGCATAAAAAAGGACATTCTATATGAACACAAATATTTGATTTAACTGACATTAGATAGACTGTATCTAGTCCATAGAGCGAGGAGAGAGCTAACAGGCCTGGCTGCAAACTCTGAACCTCTGAGAGAGGTGCTGACCATCTCTGGTCCAGGTCCCACTCCAACCTTTTGGCCATCTCTGTTGTTTTCCTAAGGTGGCGTGCAGAATTCTGGTGCATGGTTGATCCTGAGAGGTGAATGGTCAGAGGTTACAAAGGCCAGCAGAGAAGCTCAGCCAACTTGACTTACTCTGAATTGTGACAGTAAATCCAAAGATGGGGTGCAGTGTCTCCTTGGGACCTGTACGATCCTCTCCTGAGGCTCTGACGTGGATACCCAACACCTGGTTCTCTCCAAGCTGCTCTCAAACGTCTTTGGAAAAACTACTCCAGACCTGTGACGCCAACCTTTCTTTCCTGGTGCTTATGCGACCTCTAGTGGCCATAATCAGGAAAACACTCCATCCCTGCACTGCCACCAAGTTGATTCTAACTCAGCTCCTTTGGGTTGCTTTGGCTGCACATGTTTATGGAAGGAGACTGCCAGTCTTTCTACCACAGGGCAGCTGGTTATTTGGACTGCTGCTTGTTTTATTAGCCAACTGATATGTTACCCACTATGGATAGATGGCATAATGAGAAATAAAGTAGGAAATAGCTTTAGTATTTAGTGGTTGACCCCTCTATTTAGTGTGTATCTCATCAAATATGCCATAATGAATACCAGGTTTGGGTTCCAGACCTAACTGCAACAGTTACTATTTAATGTAACTTGCTATTTAGCTGTTTCAACCACTAGAAGAATTTTACAATTTTATGCAGAATGCCCATGAAATTGTTCTCACTTATGGTTAGGTTATTTTTTGGGGGATTCTAGAGAGCCCTGGTGGCCTAGTGGTAAGAAACTGCATTACCAACTGAAGTCAAACAATTTTAATTCAACCAGCTGCTCTGCAGGAGAAAGATGGACAGTCTCCTGTATACATTGGATATTTTTCTTATAAATATTATCTTTATAGATATTAAATTAGCTGTTATAATGACCATACCTCTAGGTCCTTACAATAAACAACTATATGGTTAGGTACCGCCACTGTCACACTCATTTTACATATGAGGAACTTGAGATACAGTACAAAAAGAATCAATAACTTGTCCCAAGTCATTTGATTGCAAAGTAATAGGGGACTCATAGGGTTCATTGCTGTGTTGTTTCTCAAACCTTCATTTTTAAAAGCAATGGAAATTTTTAATGTATGACAGGAGCAATGATCTGAAGGTCTGGGATTGTATTAAAAAAATAATGTTGGAAGGGTGGGTACGACGGAGGAAGAAAATGTAACATTCTCTTGATATGTTTTGCCTGAGTGGTATGTTTCTATAGCACTCTCTATATAGTTTTTAAACCCAGAAACTATTTCTATTGAAATTGAGAATTTTGAACTATTTGTTACCTTACTTTAAAAAATGTTTTAGTGATTCAAGTTAATTTTATAACTTTCATCAATGTTGTTGTGATTGTGCAGATGGAGAAGCCTTTTCTGTATGTTAATAATCACTTCTCACGTGATCCTTACTTAAATTTGTTGGCTTTAAAAAAAAAATGAGCAAGGACCGAACTCATCAACTATATTTGATAAGAAGAGCAAATTGACTAAGTTGTGAAAAAAACCCTCAAAGACTACTTCCAAAATGACCATAGCTAGTTAATGGAAGAAAAGGAATCAAAACCCAGGTTTAAAAAAAAAAAGACAAAAAACAAAAACCCAGGTTTCCTAGCCCTGGGCCTTTCCTGCTCCTGTCAGAAGGACCCTATGCATTGTTAGGGACCACGGCCACCCACACAGACACACAGGGCCCATGATGAATTTGCGATCCCACGTCCACCAGGCAGTGGCCAGGCTAGATGTTTGGCAGTAATCGGATGGTTCTTAGACCTCTCTTGGTGGTTAGTAAATTTGAAACGTGAATGATCTTGTGCATTTTCAGTGTTTCCTCCACGTTCCTTCTTTACACATCCCCAGCCATGTCACTCAGAAAGAATGTAATTGGAAGAGTGATGATTTTTATACTCAAAGATACAAGATACTTGAAGTTACATTTGGGGCTCTGCTGGAATAAACCCCACCCATTAATGGATGGACACAGTGACTGTAACAGTGGGCTCAATCATGTTGGAGATGGTGAGAACGGCACAGGATAGGACAGTGTTCTTTTATTCATAGGGTTTCTATCAGTTGTAACAACGTTACTGATGGGCCTGAAGCCAGAGCCAGGCATTGCCCAAGAGAGAGGAAAGCAGATGGTTGTAAATAAATATCTCAGTGCCTACAGTCACTGGAAGGATCTGCTCTGCAAGTCAAAAGGCCAACAGTTGAAACCCACCACCTACACCAAGGAAGGAAAAATGGGAATATTTACTGCCTCTGAGGCCTGACAGAGGGTTGCTATGATGCAATAGATTCCATGGCATTGGCTTTAGAGTCACTATAAGCAAACTCAGGTAGCTTAGTGGTAAAGTGTTGCACTGCCAACCCCAAAGGCATGTAGTTTGAATCTACCGTCTTTCTGTGAGGCAAAGAGTGTCAATCTCCTTCTGTGGGATTTACTGCCTCAGCAAGCCACCTGGAGCTAGCTATGAGTATTGTCTGAGTTGATAGCACACAACAACATCCATAGTAGTGCTCTGGTTAAAGCTGCTAATCCTAAGGTCAGCGGTTCAAACCTACCAGTCATTTCACAGGAGAAAGCTGTGGCAGTCAGCCTCCATAAAGAAAACCCTAGGGGACAGTCTACTCTAGCCTATCAGTTTGCTAGGAATCCACTTGACAGTGGTGGGTCTGGGGTTAGAGACCACATTGTTGTGAGCTTTCTGTTGAGTGACCCTTGACTCGTGGTGACTCTGCACAACAGACAGAAACACCACCCAGACTCGTGCTTTCATTTGTGATTGGTTGCAGTTGTTGTTTTCATTGACTAATTTTTTTTAGCCTTCCAACTCTGTCTTGGGAGGTTCTGCTGAAACCTGTTCATCATCATAGCTACAGATGACGATGTCAGATCACTGACAGATGGGTCCTATCTGTGCAGATGGTACATGGACTAAGCACTGAACCCAGGTCTCCCACATGGAAGGCAAGAATTCCACACATTGCCCCGCCCCCCCCCCAGAGTTCCTATACCACTGTTTCATTAACTATTGGCCTGTTTTCTCGTGCCAAGGATTCTGAGCAGACATTTCAAGAGCTGACATCTCACCATTTTGAAGTCAAATACACACAAAATACACCTTTGTTTTAACACTAAAGCTACTTTCATCGGTGTTCATTTTTTAGGGTGTGAGAGTCTCAAATCCAAATGCTTTTAAGACCTTGACAGGTAAGGTAAATTAATGTAAGGCCAAGATGACCTGAGGAGAGCAAGTCTAGTTCTAGTTTTAAAGCTTTACCAGCCCTGTGTTGTTCATGCAAAAAACTGAGTAGGTCAGCTAACAGCTGGCTACTGCTTCTGATGTAGAGGAGCAGACCTGGGGTGAACCAGAAAACCTGGGTCCCTGTGAGCTCAGACCCCCCTGCCTTTCCAGAGCCTCCGCTTTCACCACTTGTAAGAAATGGGTCTTGCAGGCTCTCACCGTCTATTTTTGTGATCTGTGATAGAATATGTGTCTCAGAACAACTGTCCCCAGGTCGTCTTTATCTGTCTGACATACACTTGCAAATCCCCGACAGGCCTCATTGATCAAATTCACTTTTTAGAACCAGTTTCCTTGAGGTCTGTTGGATAGCTTTGAGACATTAATCTGAAGTGCTTTGATCTTTGTGTGAATTAATCTGAATTTAACCATCGTTCAGTGCCACTCTCTCAGAGGTTGCTTTTTTCTTTTTTCTCTTTTTTTGCCAATTTTCTCTTCTTTTTGAAAGCAGTCATGAGCAGACAAGCTTAGAAAGGGTGTTCTCTTCATGTTGTTTCAGGGAAAATAGAGAAAGTCAAACCTCCTCCATCCCCCACAACTGAAGGCCCCAGCTCGCAGCCTGACTTAGCCCCCGAAGAGGCTGCCGGATCCCAGCGGCCCAAGAATCTGATGGAGACCCTCATGGAAGACTATGAGACACACAAATCTAAAAGGCGAGAGAGAATGGATGATAGTAGTGTAAGTGTTGCCTTTCCTTTCCTCGTCAGCATGATGTTTGGTGTCTCCGTTCAGGTGGAGCTGTAACAGCTTGTCTAGCCAGCACCAAGGGGCCAAAACCCATTTTCAAATGTGTGATCTAACATGCCTGCATTAGGGGTTTGGGGTTTTGCTTCATTTCCCAAAAATGTTGTTCACATATGGAACAGCCCCTTTGGGCTGCCATGTGTCTTTTCAGCCTATTCAGTAAGTCCTAATGCTTGAACTGTCTGGGGTGTAGAACGACAGCGTACAAGTGGCATGTGGAGAAGGACATGGGCACCCTATAATCCTCACCAGGGACCAGGGACCTGGAGTCTCCTGCTCTACTCTGTACAGATTTTGTTTCTCAAGAAAAACTGTAAAGACATCATTCCTTCAAGATCTAGTCTGTCATTATTCCCTAGAAATGTTACAGAGTGCTCAAAACACCCAAGTTTATCCAGAGCTGTAATGCAGCCTGTGTGTGTGATTTGGTAGAAAGGAGCCCTTCGAAAGAGCAGTTAAAAGCTACACAGCCACCCTCTTATTCCCAACCTCAAGAACTTCGCCTGAGATGTTTGTGATGGAAACTGTCCACTCTGTGGTTGCGTTCTCCAGCAAGTCTTCTGAGCTGCTTCTCCACACAGCCTCCAGAGACAGGAGCCTGAGGCTGACCTCATTGTGTGTCCTCTCAACCTCCAGAGACTGCTGGCATCACTGTCTTATGGGGGGTTTGCCTCATTTAAAAAAAAAAAAAAGATAAATGTTGACCATGTAAAGAGAAATTGCTTTCTGGCAATCACTTAGCATACCACTAGCTTGAGCTGGTTATGGATACTACCCAGCCGACCTAGGAGAGTTCTTTCTGGTTTATGCCTGTTGTCCCATTGTAATTATTAATAGCATCTCTTTTCACTCTGAAGTGTCCCAGTTAAAAGGATAAATCATCTGATCACCTTAAACTTGAATGCTGCAGGGCCCACTGTAGGAATTCTGTTCTCAGTGTGTTGCATATCCTGGGTGGCTTAGAGAAAGGATTTTTGGAGTTAGGGTCAGATATAGAAAGTTGCTTTCAAAAAATCTAGTAGTAAAGAAAGGCTTAACTCTGTGGACCCCAGCTACACAGAATACCGACTTAACTATCCCGCCCTGTCCACACCATTTTTCTTTAATTGTGCCTTATCCCAGAAGAATAGTAATGGGGCCTGATGGACGGACAGCTTGATGGTTGACTGTGTAACCAACTGCCATCCTTGACCCTAGAAACTGCAGTTCTGTTCTTCTGGTCCTATTTACATACACTGTTCTTGGAGTGAAAGGTGACGTCCAAGAGCCCAGAATGGCCAGCTCTGGGCCCAGGGTCATCCAAGGCACCTGACCACCTTCCCTCAGGATTCCTTCTCATAAGCCACGTGGCAGCGTTTATGTATATGGTTTTGGAGTTTGTAAACAACCCCTAAACCACAGGCTTTCAGCCATGTGCTTGCTAATGGGAAGAACCAATGTCTATGAAAATTGAATGAGGATAGGTATTTGCTGTGCTTCAAAGGAGAAGGCAGACTTAACATGAAAGAAGTTGATAAGTTGGATAAAGACACATAAATCTAGACAAGGCTTTTTGCTTCCCATGCTTTGCCAGGACAACTCAGAAAAACCAATCCTAGTCATCAAAACAGGGAAAATACCCTCACGCACTTTGAAGGCCAGGATTTCTCAGGCCAGGGCTCTGCACTTTCATGTCTTCCCCACAAGTCAGCAGGGCAGCCACAGAGTGATGTGGGTGACATTGTGTACCTTCTGTGGCCTTCCTCATGCTGTCACTCCCTCCTGTTGAAAACAAGATAGTTGGTGAACTCTAGTGGCCTAGTGGCAATAAGGTGCACTGCAATCCCAGAGGTGTGTGGTTCGAATCCACCAGATGTTCTGCTGGAGAAGATGGGGCAATCTCCTCCTGTACCTGTCAGATCTGATTTGATGGTACACACACATAAAAAAATAAAATTTTTTAAAAAAGAAAACAAGATAGTTATTGGAGGGCTCAGAGAATAGGAAATTAAATCATGAGCGCTCTCTCAGAGCAACTACACAGGGGTCACTGTAACAGAATGAGAAGACCTTTCCTCTTCCCTCCCAAAAGTACCCCAAATAGCTTTCGGCTCAGAAGTCATGCAGGGATCTGCCTTCAGTAGCCACAGTCTAGTCTCCCTGAGCCTCATCCAGCCACCTAGGCATGGGGTGGTCAGGCCCTGCTTCCTAATGGACACCTTGGCTCATTTTCTGGCTTAGAGGAGGAATGCTACCCCTACCTCTACTCTTATCCAGCACTATTCACTGACCTCCTTAGTGCAGATAAGGAAAAACACCCCTGTGTGTGGCCTCAGCCCCAGGTACACGAAGAAGAGTATTTGGGCATTTTACTGGCCAGGCGACCCCCAGGCTGGCCAGAACCTTTAAGTCAATGAGCCATTGGCTCTGCCGTGCTCCTGAATATGGGGATGGGTGTACCGTCTCTTCCTGTGTGATTTACTGCACTTGAAAACGTGCAGGAGGGTCAGCTCAGCTACGGGGAGGTTCCTACTCAAAGGCGCACAACAAAATACTCAGAAAGGGAGCTCTGGTGGCTCTGTGGGTAAAGCAAACCAAAGGCAGTCAGTTCAAATCCACCAACTACTCCTCTGGAGAAAGATCGACAGTCTCTCCAGTGTGATTTACAGCCTCTGAAAACCCACTGGAGGGTGAGCTGTGAGTCTGCTCTGACTCAATGCAATGACTTTTTACTTTGGCACCTAAGAAGCAAGCAGCGGTCACACATGTGAGCTGCCGTTCCCCAGCCTCTGAATTTCCAGTAAATGCTTCACATGCCTTAAGCCCTGTAGAGGCAAGATCATTGTCTGCAGTGAGCTGCTGAAGTCAGTCTTTTCTGTAATTTCTAGTAGCCATGCTGGTCCCCGTCCTCTACCCCACCTACACAGGGGCATATTTCTACAGAAGACTTTCAACCTCCTTCCAGCCTGTCTCCTCAATTGATCGTTCAAATTGTGGTAACCTAGGCAGGACTCCAAGGGAATGATTTGGGAGGCTCCAGGGTCTTCCTGCAGTGGCCCCTCTGGTCAGTCTCTCCACAAAGCTCGCATTTGAACCAACCCCTGTTATGGCCAGGGTCTTCTTTTAATGGGACAGCAGACCACTGGACTGTCCTAGAGGTTCAGAGAAACCTACAGTGTGAGAAAAGGCCATTTGGCTAGAGGTGTGGATTCTAGCAAATCCGCACTGGCCATGAAGGACCTTGCTGGTGGGTGGCTGGTTGCATACAGGGAGGCAGGGGGCGTGGCAGTGGGGAAGGAGATCTTGTTAATTCAGAGCACATAAATTGAAGCAATAATGTTTGAATTAACAAACTATGGCTTATCTGATATTTTTTTATTACTGCATACTAGGTATCTACTCTTGCTAGAAGATACAGGCTATTAAATAAACTAATATCAGATGAAGCAAATTCCTGGTTGGGAGGGTGACAGTCTCCTGCTATTACCCCCACCCATCCGCCCTGGCATGGTGGCAGATCCCGGCTTGGGTATTCTATAAGTGAGGGCGACAATGTCCTGGTGTTACCTCCCACTCAAACACCCCAGCATGGTGGTAACTCCTGGCTGGGATGTTCAATGAGTGAGGGTGACTATGTCCTGGTGTTACTGCGTGCACACACACACACACACACACACACACACACACACACACACTCAAACACCCCAGCATGGTGGCAGCTCCCGGTTGGGTGCTCTGTGAGTGTGTCTCTGCCGTGCACTAACCCTGATCTTTTCCCTCTCTGCCAGTACACCTCTAAGTTACTGTCTTGCAAGGTCACTTCTGAGGTACTTTTCAATTTGTTTGACTTGATCTTCCTGCATGCTTGATCCAAGTGCATGCTATGTGGTTTGCCATTTCCTGATGGGTTATATGGAAAGGGGAGGGGAAAAGGCTGTTCTCTGTATTTGTTTTTCCTGGCTTTCCCCCCGCCAAGGGCCTGCTTCATGGTGTTCGAGAACCTGCAACAGGGATACACAATGCTGTGCTCTGATTTGTTGTGCTGTGTGGTGGGGTTGAAGAAGGCTTTGCCTGCTCTTTGGGCTGGAGGGAATAACCGACGAGCTGTTCTGATTTCTTCCACTTCTTCAGGCACAGATGGCAAATATACTCGAGTCTGGTTAGAAAAAGTTGAACGCAAGCTGATGGAACTGTTGATTTTGAGCAGTTATTTTCCCTAATAAGAATCCAGAGAACTTCTTTCTATAGTTTTACGATGAGTTATTCCAAGCTTGAGCCTGTCCAGTACCCCTTCCTACAAATCTTTAAACCTTTTGTTTTGGAAGCTTCTAGAATCATTGGACTTCCCAGAAAGCTTCCTTCTTCCTCTCCCACCTCCTTTTACAGATTATTCAAATGTCTATACTGTGGGAAATCAGGTTTTTCAGAGCATTTTTTAAAAAATTCCTGTTTCCTTTAACCCAAGACCACCAGTAAGGTGATAAAGCGTCCTCCCTTCCCCCCTTTACATCTATGCCCCTGTTCAGCATGAAGAAGCCAGAGAGTCGGCATCCAATTCCCAAATCAATAAGACAGTTGGTTTAATTACCATTGGAAAATGCTTGTCATTACTCTGTAGTATCTGGTCCCCTCTGGACCCTCATCATTTCCTTCACCTGCTCCCCCCACCAACCAAGCTGTGCAGCTCTGCAACTGCATCCTGGCCCATCCTCACCTTTCTGCCCCCAACCCTCACCTCCTTGTACCCCCAATATGTTTTTCCCAATAAAAATTTTTTTTAAATTCCTGTTTCACATTATTTTTATGTTAAAAGACATTTTTCACCAAATATAAAATCATGGAGTGAATCATTCAGTCAGTCAGATAACAGTTGATATGAGACCTACTGTGTGCTAGGAGGCATTTTTCTAGTTTCTAAGATGCAACAATCAACAAAACAAAGGCCCTGATGGCATGGTGGTGGCTTCCACATGTCTCAGTAATAAAACAATAAAGCCCGTTTGTCCAGTCTAGTCTCTTCTCACAATTTTACAATATTTTCTTAATATTCTTAAAATAAATAAATATTGCAAATGCAATTGAAGCCCTCTGGTTACTTCTCCCAGTTCCCATTTACCTCTCCTCCTTCGACCCCCCCTCCCCTTTCTGCCCTCTTTGTCTCCTTCCTTTCCTTCTGAGAGGTAATTATTCCTGGATTTCATGTTCATCATTTTAATGCATGCTTTTATATTATCCTATACATGCGTCTATTTACAGAAACAATGTCCTGTATTTTTGCATGATTTAAAACTTGTATAAATGGTATCTCACTGTAGTAGTCTTCATTCTGTATGCACTGTTTTCAGATGTACTTTTGTTGATATTTGTGGTTCTAATTCATTCATTCTACCTGCTGTGTTGTGTTCCATTGAATGATGGTGTGATGTTTCGTGCAGCCTCCTGTTGATGGAAATGCAGATTGCTTACATTTTGGGGCAATTATAAACAGTGCTTCAATGAATGTCACCTCACATGCCTTTTTGTATATTTGTGGGCAAAGTTCTATTGATCTAGAAGTAGAAGCCAGTAGGATGGGGCTTCCATATCCTCACATTCACTAGATATTTGTAATTGCTTTTAAGTGAACCAACTTACAGCTTATGAATTTTTTAAAAATCTCACTACTTAGCAGACATATTACAGTTAACAGCCCATCTGAGCTGAGGATTGCCAGTCATTTTGTTTTGTAGAGTAGAACGTGACTACTGAGACCACCACTGTGCCTAACTTCCTCAGTGTCTGATTATTATGATCTAGGGATAGCGGATCAGAATAAGCCCCTTTGAGTAGTTAACAGGGAAAATTTGGTCTAATATATATAAAGAAGATAAAGCGGATATCTTTAATTGAAGAGGAATTAGGGGTATCTTAAATTGAAGAGAGATTGGGGGTAGGGGGTAAAAATATAAATATACAGATATGCATAGACAGAATAACTGGTATTATTTCACTGTCTTTGGTTTCATACCTCCAAAAAATGATCCATGTTCATCACATTCAAACGTAATCAATTAACTTGAATTCCTTAAGTATTAGAGAATAGAGAGTTGTTCAAAGAGAATTGATTTTTTTCCCCTCCAGAAGACCTGAATCTAAAGTCAATCTTGCTATTACTTTTTGCTTTTCCCCTTTTAATTTCCACTGTGAGTGTTAGCTGCCTTTCTCTAATGCCTTCCTATTAGACTCTAAGCTACTCATCTCTGAGTGGCTCTAGCCTAGGGACCTGGAGTATGGTCTCCACACCCACAGTATTGGGTTCAAATCTTGCCATTGATTTCCGTAAAAAATTAAGGCTCACGTAAAGTTTAAGTAAGAAGAATGAATTGGGAAAAGAGCTTATTCTGTGTAGATTTTTTGGTCTTTTACAAATAGCTTTGCTATGCTAAATGTTTCCATGTATGTAAATATTATTTCAACCAATTAAACTTTTGTGGTGACTAAACCCCAAGGGAAGGGATTATGCTATTCTGTCTCCAACACCAAGTACAGTTCTTGGCACATGATAGGAACCCAATACACATTTGCTAAATGATTGGTAATGTGGGTTCCTGAAGAGCAGAACAAGCTGTGTGTTCTCAACTTAGAATTCGAATGAGGCTTAAATAACAAGATAAAGAACAATAGGAAAGGAAGGGGCCTTATTTTACAGAAACTTGGATTTTTTTGTTTATATTTTTAATTTTTTTTAAATATGGTTTGTTTACAGAATTTATATACATTGTGAAACCAGGATTTTAATTTTTTTTTTTTTTTACAATTTGTATCTACAGTTTTTAAGATGACTGTTTTATGCAGTACAAAATTCCTTCTAAAAAATGCCATATACTTTAATACTACTTTATAGTTTAGTAAAGGCCCTTTCACCTGATAAGAGAATTAATCATCATTGAGGCCTTAGCATGGCACCAGAAACTGGGCCTACATACTTACATTCATTTATTCCTCAGAACAACTTAATGCTTTTGAAGTGTTTTTTCCATTTCACATATAAGGAAACTGAGGCAATGGGGTAAGTGACTTTCCCAAGTGTGTACAGTCACTAGGATTGACTCTTACTCAAGTGGGTTTAAGAGTTCCACACTCCCTCCTTTGAAGGAGGCAGGGCAGGTTCTGTCTCCATATTGTACATAAAAAAACTTGAGAACCAGGATCCCACAAACAGCAAGGGACAGAACTAGATCTAGAGTTCAAGACCATAGAACCCATCCCAGTACTGTTTCTCAGGACCATATTATTACTACACACTGATCAGGAAGTATCCTCTATTGAGGAACACTGTGATAAAAGCATGCTTCTCTTCCACTGATTTGTGTTTCTTCAGAACTGGGTTGAGTACCCACTTGTGCTTATAGACAAGGTACTTCAGGATATCGTGCTTTCACACTACACTATGCCTTCAGCAGATGTGACTGAGTACATACTACATATAAAATCTATGCCAGGCCCAGCTGACCCGTGTAGGAGGAATGGGAAGATGCCCCAAAGGAAAGCACATTGAAGCACTGTTACACAGACTGAACATTAATCAGAAAAGTAGGTTGTGATGGACATTGAAATGTTCGGTCAGCTCAGAATCTGCTTAATCCTGGGCTCCCACCACTGCCTCTAACCTGCATCTCCTCGCTTGTCTGGAATTGTCAGCATCATTTTCTCTTGCCAAAATGATTGTTCTTAGAATAAGGAGAGCCTTCACTGTGGTTCCCATAATCTACTGGTGTTGGCTGGGTGGACTTTATGCCATGAGCAAACTCCACAGGAATAGGTTGGCATGCTCGGGCTTGCTTTTGCTGCAGTGTCATGAAATGGAACCACTTCTCAGATGTTGGCAATCTAAATGCTATACATCTGGAATCTCATCACGATTAAACTAAAACCAGAGCAAAGATTGCCTCATACTTCCCCTTAGGAGTGTTGTAGAGACCTGGAGGGAAAAGATGTACTATAACTCCTGATGGTAGGGAGCCTACTTGTCCTCAGTGTTGTCACCTTTAACATAAGATATCTGTGTCGGGGGGAGCTCTGGTGGCCTAGTGGCAAGGAGCTGCAACTACAATCCCAGAGGCTCATGGTTCGAATCCACCAGATGCTCTGCCGGGTAAGGAGGGACAATCTCCTCCTGTACCAGTCAGACCTGATTTGACGGTACACTCACACAAAAATAATAAAAAAATTAAAAAAAAAAAAAGATATCTGTGTCTGTGGTCACATGCTGGCCTACCAGCCAAAAGGCCATTGGTTCAAATCCACCAACTGCTCCAAAGGTGAAGGACAAGGCAATCTTCTCCTGTAATGATTTACAGCTTCAGAAACCAGATGAAGAGTCATCCTGAGTCAGAACTGACTCAACGGCAGTGGGTGTGGGTTCTTTTTCACAGCACTGAACTGCACCAAAATACTCAGACTGCCTTTTATTGGTCTAAGAAGTTATTTTGTCCTTTGATTTTCTTTTATCATTTAATGCCTCTTTGATGTTTCATCATGCATTAGTAGACTTATGATTTAATGAGAGATTAAATTCAGATTTAAATTTCAGATTAAAATCAGCGATTCATAAGACTTAATAACTTAAATGCACATTGGTTCAAATATTTTCCATTTTCTAGTCGGTTTGCTTATAAAGAGACCAAGACAATCTATAGTTGTGTTGTCCAATGTGGTCCATATGTCACTAGCCACATTTAAATTTGTTAAAGTGACATAAAATAAAATATTTCCTTTTTCAGGTAAAGTAATTATATACCAATGGTTTAAAAGCCCCATGGCTAGTGGCTATAATATTGGCCAAGCCAAATACAGACCATTTCCATCATCACAAGAAGGTCTTTTTAGAGGCAGTGAAGAAATCAGTTTTATTATCTTAAAAACTTAATGCAAAACAAACACTAGTTTAAAAAAACTTTTAGAAAATTTTGTGAAAATTAAATTTATGTATAAAACAGTGAGTCAAATTGGAAGTGAATGTTGTGGATGAGATTAATACACACCCAGACCCACTTTTTAAAAATTCTTATTTCTTGTGCTCATCCTACTTCCCAGCAATATCAAGACCCTTCATTACTTTTCCTTGTCACCCCTCATCGAGTAGGTGCTGTGAGAGGGGGAAAGAGGAAGACCCGGTAGAAGTTGGTGTGTTTACATAATCAATAGCCTATAAACTCTATTTTCCCCCCTCTCTCCCTTCAGGTCCTTGAGGCCACGCGGGTGAATCGAAGAAAAAGCGCACTGGCCTTGCGCTGGGAGGCAGGCATCTATGCCAACCAGGAGGAGGAAGACAACGAATAAACTTCCTTCTACGCAGGAAACTTCTTTGGTGCTTGGGATGCCAAGAGGCCAAGACGTTAACCAATCAAAGCATTTTAATGGAGTATTTATTAAAGTGCAACCAAACTCAGCAATCTATGTAGACCAGAAGCTGATGCATTCAGTGATGAAGAAGGAATTAAGTGCAAAGGAAATCCACCCGTCAAACTCTGACCCCCAGGAAGGACTTTGTTCCCCTTCCTTTTGTGACTCAAAGAATTACGTGGATTTGGACCAATCCACAACTGATCCAAAGGGACAATGAAGTGACAAGCAAATCAACATGGTTACTACAGGTTGAATGGAGACCAGCCTCACTGGGCCATGAGGAAGGCCAAGTGGTGGTGACAGGGCCGTTTAGGGAGCAGTAGGACCCAGCCAGCATGACCTGCTGAGCGCAGGACAATTTCTGCCCCTGCTCCCTGTCTCCCACTTGAAACACCAGCAAGTGTGGGGTTAACTCTATCCACTGCAGTAGCCATAAAATGAATGATGGATTTTTCTGTATTTGCCCAGAAGAGGCAGTCACGAGTCCCGTTCACTTAGATTTCTTTTTAATTGGGAGCAACTAATGATTGTAATACATCAAAATCCATATTTCTAAGACAATTTCTTCATGTTGTAAACGCAATCTATTCTGTGTTCAGAGGTTGATAAAGGGGGAGAGAAAGCCAAACCAAATGGATAGTTTTAGCTTTAGGATCTTGTCTGCTTACTGACTGATCTGCTGTTCATGAGAATACATTTTCATACTTAAGTTTCTTCATACAAAAGCTGTATTTAGTGGGCAACTATTTTTATGATGGGATGGGAGAATATATACGTGTATAAAATCTGTACTCATTGAACAGCTTGGTTCAAGATGGTAGGGTTATTTTTAGAGTGGCAGTAATTGAATAAAGAAAAAAAGGGGGGGGGGTGAACTCTGCCTTAGAGGGATAGAGGACCAGAAATTAAAAAGTTGTTTATAACTATATTTTCTATAATAAAAGTGGGCCTTATAGGAAGTAGAATGGTGGATGATTTGAGAGCAGCCAGACATGAAAACTTCAAGAAAGAAAAGTAATAAAAAGGTAGAGAAGAATGGAGGGAGAAGAGTGAGAAGACGAGGGAAGAGAGGTTATTTTTGCTGAGCAGTCAGTGTTTTTCAGGATAAAGAAAAATAGAATAGACATTTTAGTGCAGGTTTGGAATCAGCTATAAATCCTAAAGATGGTGTGTGTCTGTGTGCGTGTGTGTGTGCGCGCGCTTGCACGTTTGTGTGCCTGGTTTAAAATATACATATGATCACGAGTATGTCTGAGGATTGGAATTCCAGAATGATTGAGGGATGTGTGCACAGTGATTGCCTCCAGAGCTGACTGCCAGCTCAAGGAGTGAGTGAGAATGTCTTTTTTATGAAAAGGAGCATCGAGGCACCGAGTTGATGCAGTATTTGTGGTATTAAATTGAATTTGCATGGTGACAATAGCAAGGTTTTGAGCAGTTTTGTAACTTGACCCTTATGAAAGTATCATATTTATTCTCATGCTTTGTATTCATGCTTAGTATATTCTAACGAGGATGCCAGCCTTACTCTTTCTGTCATTTAAAGCAATACAATAAGGGTATTCAAAGATGTGAGTGCCCTAAATTTCTGAATGAGAAAACTTTTTCATTCTGGCCATTAGAAGAGAAAACAAAACAAAACAAAAAAACCACCTCACCAGCCCTTTCCGCCCCCCTCTCTCTGGTTTTTTACAAAAGCAATAATTAAGTCAGACCTCACTAAAATTAATTTTTATTTTCATATGGTTTTGTCATAAGCTGTAAGTTGTTGCTCTGACAAGAAGCATTTTCACAAAGTTTGTATGTGGCATTAATGCACAGTATGTTTGCTTTCTTTCATTAGACTCTTGTTGACTTTTGGGGGTAATGTTTGCTCACAGACAAATAGTGGTCACATAGTAAGAATGTCTAATAAGTCATGAGGGTCCGGTCCCTTTTTTACAGCCATGGGAATCCCTTAATTGAATGACACATTGTACTAATAATGATCAACCAAGGATGGCACATGAGCATTTGGCCCCATCTTCATGTGGTTCATTCTTGTGAATACTCTGAATGAAATTCAGCATAAAGTACCAGCCATAACAAACACAAACCAAGTCAGATCTCCACTACAAAGGATCCATTACAGGGAAGATGGCATGAGGGCACAGAATCCCAGGGAAATGAGATCTGGGTTAGATTAAGAAGTCCTTGCACATTGGGTGGGACACTAGGACCAGAGGATCTTCTTTGCCTGGGGTCCCTGGCCAGCAGTGATGTCTGTGGTGAAAATACATCAGCTACACCAGGGGACATTCATTCACAAGGTCACAGCCGGCATTTAGGGTAGCTGGAAAGTGGGGTGATTCTACTGAGAGTTGCACAAAAAATTTAAAAAGTGCTTCGTGTTTTCTGAGATTTTGTAGAGACAATAGAGATTATGTAAGCGAATGTCTTGCTTTGTCACAAGAGGAAACTACCCTCATAACTCACAACATTGATGAAGAGAGAATTCAGCCTAAAGGGAAGTTGATGAGGCCACACACAACTCAATAGCTCTGGGGGCAAGGCAGCCTTTGACTTGAACTGAACCACAAGTGCTTATTACTTAAGGAATAATTGGGCGTTTTGGAGGTCAGGTCTTTGGGGCACCCTCTCCATAAGAAACCAGTAACAAAGCTGTTTACTGTGACACCCTACACCTGACTTTGGCTCCTTCTCCTGTGCTGCCTTCCAAATGCCTGCTGTTGGTCCTCTGACCCCGTCCCTAATCCGATTATAATCCCATCAAAGTGTAAATGACAGTTCTCTAGGAAGAGCAGGATTTTCTCCTAGCTCTTTTTTTTTTAACTCCTTCAAGAAACGTGTGGCCACTGCTTTGTACATAGAACTGTCCTGGGCTCGGGGATCCCAGATGTACCCCCTTTAACTCTCTGAAGGTGGGGTAGTGCCTAGGGGCAAATCATTCCCTCCTAATCTATTGAAAGACAGAGAGGCTGGGGGAGGGGGGGCGGGGGAACTTTGCCTCTGATGCCAGTCCCCAGTAGCACAGAAATGTGTTAATCTCAACGATAATGAATGTTTAGATTCTGTAAATGTTAAAAGCTTTCCTGAAAGTATTCCATTCTGCAGTGTTTCTAGATATCACTTTCCTCTGGAGCTGATTCACTACTGACATGCCTTGAGTTTCTCATCCAGAAATTATGGAAACAGGGTCTGTCAGTGGCAGGAGGCCGGACTGTGTTCGACTTGGATGACACAATGCAATTTCCCTGCCTCTTTATACTCCTGCATGCTGCCCATCCCAGGCAACAATATATAAGCATTATATAGGTCAGTGTCTACATAAATATATACACACACTCACATATATATAAAGCATAACAAAAGGACACTAAAGCAGTGTTGACTTTTGTCTCAGACAAGTATTTTTTTTCCAGCTGAAAGAATGGATTTAATGAAACTATGTATTGAAGAGGGGATAAAAGAATAGCATAAATGTTATAGAAAGTGAATATATCCCGTTTTAGTTACAGAATCAATTTTCCTGAATTTTAAGCATTCAGTGAGCTGCCAATTTTGATTTTGTGTTGCTCTTTACCCAAATTATATCTATATATATATATATAATTTTTATTTTGAGGAGGGAAAAAAGCAGCAATACTGTGTTTGAAAATTATGCTGTTTTCTGGCTTTCCTGTGTATGTTAACCACTTCAATGTTATTCTCCTGCTTTGGTTTTATAGTGATTGTGAGGCATTCAATGCAAGTATACAATTATTTTCTCATTAAAACCCAGTGTGTGTGGTGTTTTTGTACGTGCTGGCTACATGTTTGGCTGGGGGGTGGGGAACAGCCCCCATGGCCTCTGTTTCTGTGCTGCGTCCGTTTCCTAGAATGCCATCTGCATTTGGAACAGAAGAGTGAATGCTGACGGAGAAGCACCTTTGTCACTGTCCCCAAAGCCCAGTGGTGTCTGCAGCTGTGAGGGCAGGACCCCGGAAGCTTTCCCCAGACTCAGTAAGTGAGCCACAGGCCTTTTCAAGAGGAGGCCTCAAAAGCCAGACGGATGGTGGTGTCCAGCAGCAGGGTGAGCCCTTAATGCAGACCCATCTGTGACCCGGCTCCAAGTTCCTAGCATCTGTCTTTGGCTCTTCTCTAAAAAATGGCACTTTTCAGCCTTCAAAGAGCGTGCTGAAATCGCAGGGGACCAGGAAGCAGCCTCCCTTACTTTTCTATTCCCTTTCCCCTTATTCTCCTTTCCACATCCATATCCCCCTTGTCCAGCCCCTTTACGTTCCAGCAGCATTGATCCCACCTTTCAATCTCCCGCTTTTCTTAGCCTGAGTCCTGGGTCCTGGGTGGTGCCAACAGCATGTTCAGCTGCCAACCAACAGGCTTGGAGGCTTTGGCCCACGCGGACACCTCAGCAGGTGCCTCCCCTTAGGCCCTGTGGAGAACACACCAACACCTGAGGTCCTGCTGAGATGGAGTTGACCCAGCAGTAACTGGTTGCCCTTAACCCAACAGTTCTCTTTCCCCACAGGTCCATCTTCCTGCTGCCTTTTCTCCATCTCTCTTCACATGTCCCTTTTCCATTCTTTATCCCCAACCAGCTCTAACCAGCTCTAAGTGTCTTCCCCTACCCCTGGGCAATATCCTATCACACATCAAAAAACTTGTCTAAGTTAAGGAAGCAACTCATCGCTTGCCCTCTAGTGGGTTTTCAGAGGCAACACATCACACAGGATGTGCCCATCTTTCTCCCAAGGACCAGTGCGAGGGTGGGGTGGGGGGGTGGAATGCTGTGCCTTTGGCAGTGCAACTCTTGACCCACCAGAGCCCCCTCTTCCCAGTCTGTATGTGGTGAGAATTCAGATTCTCCCCCGCCCTTGTACCATTTTAAAGACCTGATTAGATGTTAGTAACATTTAGGATGTACTAATCTCCTG